CAAGCAGCAAATTCTGCTACTGCTAGTGCTATCAGTATCACGGAGAATCGAAGCAAATATTATAGTGGTACCGTGGCATGTCCATTCTGGGTCAGCGTTGTATATACTTATATATGTTGCATGGATAAGTCCCTGCTTACTGTTGGCGTTGCTGCGGCGAGGCTGGCTGGAATAATTGTCGGAGAACTCTTTGGCTTCGTACTCTCTTCACTTCTTTCTCCGCACAAAACTGTTCAATCCGTGGGAGGCCCTGTTATTCAAATAAAGTTCTGAACCCTCAATCAAGCGTTTAGTTCTAAAACTTTGGTAATGGAAATTGTAGTTTTGTAGCTTTTCTCATAACTATCGTCCTATCGAACTGATGATCAATAAACATCACGCGGTTTGCTACAATCAAGTTAGTATAAGGAGTCGTTTACATATCAGCAGAGGGGTCTTCCAAATTGCAAATGATTACGATTGACCATATAATATTGTAATTTTGGCACAATAGCACAATACTAATAGCGATACCCGGATTTAACATTTAAACAATTTGTAATCGTATTGCCATGCAGTGTTTGTGTAACTGTAGTACTAGTTGGTAATCGCTTTTCTTGTCAAAAAGTTAATATTTGTTTCCTTCGATAGTAAATTATTTTGTCCCAAATTCATATATTTTCTAATAATACAAAATTGTTTTTAGACCAATTATACAATGTCAATAAGTCATGTGGCATGTAAGGCGCCAAAGACAAATTGCTAAAAGGCTCGGCGCAACTGCAGAAAACTGCCACTAACTGCCACAAACTGCCACTAACTGCTACAAACTGCCACTAACTGCTACAAACTGCCACTAACTGCTGCAAACTGCGCGCGCAGTGCGTGGGCGCGATTGTAGCAGTTAGTGGCAGTTAGTGGCAGTTAGTGGCAGTTTGTAGCAGTTAGTGGCAGTTTGTAACAGTTAGTGGCAGTTTGTGGCAGTTAGTGGCAGTTTGTGGCAGTTAGTGGCAGTTTGTGGCAGTTAGTGGCAGTTTGTAGCAGTTAGTGACAGTTTCTTTGCACTTTGCTCCTCATGACATGTCATGTGATTCGGAATCAGCGTTCAAAAAATACCTCGATCCATTGGGTTCGAGTGAAGAGTGATTCATGGTAGATTGATAGCTGTGACCATTGGTTGCTGCTACCCATAGTGACTGTTCACTTACTTTTCATAAGACCTTTTGTTAGTTTTTGTCTCAAACCCTGCCACAGTCTGCTCCCTCTGAAACTTTATCTGCTCCCTGTGAATGTATTGTCTACTCTTCCCCTTATCTTTCTGAAAAGTAGTTTCAGCATGATTGTCATGGCGGCCTTAGCTTTTAACGTAATCAAAGATCGTAAGGCGTTTTTAAATGAAATGATAACAAATAAGATCTAAAAAGTAGGTAATTCACTCCATTATATTATTACTTATACTCACAGCAGACAATGCTTTGCGGTCCTTGTTTGCCATAGTAGCACTGGCTGATCTCACTGAACCTGCGTACGAATCCTGGTCTCCGCAACAAGACATCAGCGTGCAAAAAAAATTGCCCATTTCTCGCACCATTAGCTCATGTATATTTATCTGTAATTGGTAATGTAAAATCCGGATTGGAGTATTGTTTATGAGTCGTATGGTTGCAATGTATTCTTGCGTAAATTTGTATTGGTCTTTTCCCGGATAAGAGCATTTTCTTGTCGCATTAAACGGGATCAATACAAATTTACATAAGAATACATTTATCTGGAATGGTAATACATTAACATTTAACATATTAGCATATTGATATATAACTATCAGCGTGTATTTTATGTGTAGTGGCGAGGGTGAGCAAGGTTTGGTGCTAATTAATCAAATTTAGATTGCTGATAAGCTGCAATAAGCCTAGGGATTTCAACGAAATACAAATTATTCTACAAATTGAAGAACACTGTAGTATAGCGCTTTTCTAATTAACGACGAACAACAGCGCTCCAGATCAGTCTGTCAAGATCCTTTAGAACCTTCTAGAAGAACCTTCGAATCATGGCACGAGTATTCCGTATGAATGGAAATAATTGTACAATACTCTCGATTTTATAGTTATACACGCAAGGCAGACAGGCAGTGCGAAAGTCTGAGCGTTGATTAAACGTTGGTACACAATTATAGTTGAACACAATGGGCAGCTAAAATTGTGGGCGACCAAAATAAAGGGAGAAAATGAGAGCCGTCAATTAAAAGATTGATCGCATGTATCATGAGCTAGATTCCTTTGCTGCAAAAACAAATTTTCATACTGCAGTCATTAGTGATTAGGGCTATAAGTATAACATGAGCTTCTATACACTTACAGATTTGTAATGAACTAACCTTATCGGACATAATTATTGTCACGGACATGTTTTTCGCCGACGACATTTTTCACGGACATAATTATTCACGCTCATAACCGCCCAAAAATGTCCGTCATGAACATTTTTGGTGATTTTTTAATAAGTGTTTTTCTTTTTTTCTGAACTCTAGATTAAGACTAAGGAGTGATTATATTTGTCCTAGTATACTAATAAACTAATATCAAATATAGTAATCGGATACACACATATCTACGCATATGTAGGGACACACACACACACTAAAATTAATGGAAATAATTACCGGACTTTATTATTCACGGACCTTAATGCCACAGACATTATTTTCACGGACTAAATTATTCACGCTAAGGTCTTCAGTGTGAAAACAATGTCCGTGATAATTATGACCGATAATGTATTTGATTAACAAAGAATAAGGCAAAGACCTACATACTTCCGCTATATTGGCTAAGCTTCTGAAAATATGATAATCGCTATTGATTCATTTAAATTTCTGCAACCTATGGCATTATTTACAGGGTCGGTCAGAAAGAATTGATCATAATTAAATTATCGCCCTTTCCCATCCCAATACATTAAACCCCCAATTTGCCGTATAGTTTGGGGACGGAAAATTCAAAATACAACCCGATACGATGGCAGGTCTCTCCTGGTGTTGAAATTGCCTGATGTGCTTCTCGATAACCTAAGCCACTCTGTCTCAAGGCACTATATTAGTTGCAGGGGATTAATCCTACGAGCCAGAGATTGTGTATCACCAGCCGAAGCTGTACCAATTCGCAGCTCGGCGAGGCCCAGTGGTGCAACTGCATCTTGCCGATCTACTGGTTGCATCTGCGAGAAGATGCGCGGCGCTACCCAGTACTAGTAGTGCATTGCGCTACAAGTACAAGCATCGGACTGGATTTGAACCGGGGACCTTCTGCATGGGAGGCAATCGTGTTACCAATTCGCCTATCAGCCGACAAAATAGTACGGTAAATTGGGGTGTACAATAAATCGGGGGTTTTAACTATTGAGTCCCCATCGGATCACATGGTTTCTCTTCACACACCCACAGCACTGGTTACCAATGGCAATAGGGGTTCGCAAGCACTCACAAACACTCACAAGCACTCACAAGCACTCACAAGCACTCACAAGCACTCACAAGCACTCAAGTTAAAGGTAATGTTGGGAAGTTACAAGCTCGCTTCATATCAGTGACCCATTTACAAACTAAATTTCAAAGGATCATTAGTCATCTGAATTTGATCATATCAAACTAAAAATGTAAACATTTTCTCAAAATTTTGTGGCCGTAAATTGGGGTTTATTTTATTTGAGTTTTGACATATTATGAATTTTAGGCTCTGCTTGTTTTGAACGACAGGCAAATGGTTTTTTGAATTTGGTTGATTTAAGACAGTGTGTTATACAAAATTATCAATTAATGGGTATCAACTATCAATTAATGGGTATCAACTATCAATTAATGGGCACTGGGCCAAATAATAAATCTGGAATACGTAAAACAGCTGATTTTTGTAATTATGCTGCTTACTTTTAGATACACAGTTTCTAAAGAGTACCTTAATACTTAAAAGTTCCCGAAAATTTGTGTGCCAAAACTTTGTGCTCAATGTATTCGAGTCCCAAAAATTTGGAAATTTTTTGGGTGACCTTTCGTGCATCTTAATCATGTTAATATGCATGAAATGGAAATTTGCTTGAAAAAATGCGCGCGGTAACAAGTAAATGATGCGATTTCATATCCACCGTATTTATATTTTGTCTCTGATGTCAGCTGCTGGGGACCCTTTGTGAAGAATCTCGAAATTCAAACGTATACTGATTTGATAGTTCACGATGGCGGCGATACTAAAACAGTAATATTCTGTCATTACAACAGCATAACAAAATGACATACGATAGTTATTCACTGAGCCGCATCGACGACCTTATACTTTACATTTCCTCAGAAGAATGTTTTATCGAGGTATTGCATTGAATGAGAATATAAAATATATAGAATACAATAGATTAATCGTCCTGGATAAGCTTGAATTGTCATAATAATTACTTCAAGTATAGTTCTAATGTCACATGTCCGTTAAGTTCATGTTAGTGATGAGAACAAACAACATATTCTATAGTCAATAGAAACAATAACGGATAGTTCGCATGATTATGAGACTAAAAACCTGCAGATAAACTAAAACGTAAAGATTTACCCAGGCTTCATTTGTATCACGTCGTGATTTTCACGTCGTGATTTCACTTCATCACAGACACAAAGTAAATTATAAATTGAACCAAATACACAGACTGGATTACATACATGCGAAGGACCTATTGTTTTCACTAATGTAATTTAGGTATTGCTTTATATCAAAACCTGCAATCAGTGAGCCGGAAAGATGACCTTATACTTTACTTTTCCTTAGTCCAATTTATTCATCAAGGCATTGCATTGAACAAACATATATACAAATATAATACAATAGATCAACCGTTGTGGATTATCTTGAATTGTCATTAAACTATAACTTCGTGATGGTCTGCAGCTTTTAATTGTTATGGAGTATGGACTATGAACGGTTGATTTCGGAATAAAAAACGGTTTTAACCACTTTTTGAAACAACGATAAATAACAAAGTTTGATTGTATTTATAGAAATGAAAGAATTCACCTCAGGAAGTCATTAAGCCTAAAAAATGTTATCTTTGGGCATATTTCAATCCAGATTCAACTTCAAATATAAATGTTCACATTATATCTTTGTATTTGCACTTGCAAAGAAACTGCTAACATATAAATATGTAACTATTTGATCCATTCACAAGTCCACTACTGAGTCAAACTAGTGACTTTCCTCAATAACTATAACTATAAGGATAGGTTAATCGCGAAAATAGTATAAGAATAAGAGTGTTCCTGAAATTCCAGTTTTTATTTGAGAATCCTTGTTGATGGTCGTATTTTTCTTTTATTCTACAATTGTTGTCTTGACCAAATATGGCAGGATTAGGAAGTCTCACTGCCAGGCTTAGGACTCTCTGCGCCCGGAGATTCGGGCTCCGCAGAATTAATCTTTTTCCTGAGCGATGGTTTCGCAGTAAGAGGCCTGAAAGAAACGACCACGTTAGTTTTATTGATATCTCTCTCTCTCTCTCTCTCTCTCTCTCTCTCTCTCTCTCTCTCTCTCTCTCTCTCTCTCTCTCTCTCTCTCTCTCTCTCTCTCTCTCTCTCTCTCTCTCTCTCTCTCTCTCTCTCTCTCTCTCTCTCTCTCTCTCTCTCTCTCTCTCTCTCTCTCTCTCTTCTCTCTCTCTCTCTCTCTCTCTCTCTCTCTCTCTCTCTCTCTCTCTCTCTCTCTCTCTCTCTCTCTCTCTCTCTCTCTCTTTTACTTTTAGGTTTACTATGGAGGATCAGGTGGAACTGTTGCCCCACAAACAAATAAACAGACATGGACATTCACATAAATCGCTCTTGCTTCAGTTTACCATTGGTTACTGCTACCCACGGTTACTGTTCACTTACTTGTCATACAACCTCTTGTTAGTTTTCTGCTCAAACCCTGCTACAGTTTGCTCCTTTGCCTGCTTAACCTGCTCCCTGTGAATGTAATGTCTACTTTTCCCCTTATCTTTCTGAAAATTAGTTTGAGCATGATTATCATGGCCTTAGCTCTTAACGTTATCAAAGATCGTATTACTGGGCGGTGCTCAGCCTGTCATTCCGCCGAATCTCTATGTGTTTATGAACATTATTGTCCCCGGGTAAAGATCGTAAGGCGAGTTTAAATGAAGTGACACCAAATAAGGTCTAAAAATTAATTCACTCCATTACTTATAGTTATACTCACAGCAGACAATGCTTTGCGGTCTTTGTTTGCCATAGTAGCACTGGCTGATCTCACTGGATCCAACGGGGTGAGTGAATCCTGGTCTCCGCAGCAAGACATCAGCGTGCAAAGAAGGTTGCTCATTACTCGAACCATTAGCATATATTTTTATCTGGAATGGTAATACATTAACATATTACTATTAGTATATATTAGCGTATATTTTATCTGGAGTGGTGAGGGCGAGCAAATTGTTTTTGAAAACAAGCTTTGGTGCTTAATCGGATTAAAAAGGAGATTGCTGATTAGCCGCAACTTTAAAGTTTGCTTAATAAGGGGTCGTTCACATATTACGTAATCAATATTTTAGCAATTTTTACCCCCCCTCCCCCTTCCGTAATCAACCGTAATCAAGACCCAACCCCCCCCCCCCCCATCCTGACAGCAATATTACGTAATCATGGCCTGACCCCCCCCCCCCCCCCCCCTTGACTTTTTTTCCTAGAAAACACCTTTCTCTACGTTTCATGCTACCCTGATCATGCTATCATGATGAGCCGAAATCATTGTTATTAATGCTTTTCATGCATATCCGGTCAAGCACCTTCTAAACTACTTACTATTATAGCCGGATATTCGATCAATTTCTAAATTTTATCACTATCAGAGTGAAATTGAGTGGAATTTGAATTAAAATATAGTCAAATTGTTATTGAACATGTATGGTCCTGCAGTGGGGTCTCCTTGTCCTTGGATCTGTGTTTTGATCCGTCTTTTCTTAAAATTGTCCACTTGTGTCACTTAGACTCACCTATTAAATGTTAATCGACACCACTGGTCCTAGTTAGATTTAGCCATGGCACGACTACTCAAACGTAACAGTTAAATAGGTGTGACATACGATTATATTCTTATATTTATATCATATGAATTGATTGCACTGCTAATAAATAGAATACTTTGTTTTACTAAAATACTTTGTTTTACTATTATTCTAGAGGGTAAAAAAGAAAATTTTGATTACGTAATCAACGGCCGAAACCCCCCCCCCCCCCCCCCCCCCGTAATCAACCGTAAGCATTTGGAAACCCCCCTCCCCCCTCGGCTGATTACGTAATATGTGAACGACCCCTAAGCAGGGATTTCAAATACGAAGTATTCTACGAGTACAAATTAAAGAACACTATTCTCTAATTAACGACGAAAAACAGTGCTCCAGATTAGTGTGGTATTATCTGGAGCACTGTTGTTCGCGGTAAAATCCTTTAGAGCCGGCCTCTCGAGCCTTCTAAAGCCCTCTTAAGCCCTCTAAAGCCCTCTTGAGCCCTCTAAAGCCCTCTAAAGCCCTTTAAAGCCCTCTAAAGCCCTTTAAAGCCCTATTGAGCCCTCCAAAGCCCTCTAGAAGAACCTTCGAATCATGGCACGAGTATTCCGCATGAATGGGAACAATTGTACAATACTGTAACAATGATACAATACACGCAAGGCAGTGCGAGAGTCGGAGTATTGTTCAAGTTATTGTTGGACAAAATGAGCAGCCAAAATTGTGAGCGACCAAAATATAGACATTTATGATATATTTGTTTAACTATTGTGTTACTTTTGTTTTATAGTTATGATATTATATTATAATAAACCTATTTGAAAATACTTTTGTAAATGGTCGTTAGCACCACCGGCACCGTCCGGGCCAACAACAACAATAGGGTGGTCCTAACTATGAGAAGTAGAACACAAATTGCTCGAATAAGGGCCGTCTATAATTATAAATAGATTAATCATCAGGGCTTCAATTGCTGTACAAATATTTCAGACCAGTTCTTAAATAAAGGGGCAAGGAGCTATAACATGAGCAAGTTCGAAATGAACCTATCAGATTTTTATTTGATTTATTACACAAGCGCTTAAAAAATAAGGCAAAGAGCTATGGTATCTGATAGTTGGATCATGAGACCAATAAACAGCGAACTACTCCATCATTTGATATTCCTTAGCTATGGTATCACTATTAGTAAAACTTCAATACAGATTTTTGTAGAACTAATTTTTCTATAGAGCATAGACGTATTTACTGGGCCGCGCTCAGCCTGTCATTCCGCCTAATCTCTATTCTATGTTTATGAACATGATAGCCTGAGGTCCCCAGGTAAAGACGTATGTGAAGCATTTTATTGAAAAGACTACATTTGTTATAGGATCAGTTGGTTGGCTCTTCTAATAGAAACAGTTCTCAATGAATAACATATACTTCCCGCGCAATCGTGGATACTGTGGTGAAGCGAACAACATTGAACACGTCACACGTGGCTTTTATTTTTTAAACACGTGACTTTTTCGCGAATTGTATAACTTATTATATACGGTTGACTCGCGGCATCTTGTAACATTTTACATTGTCATAAAACTGCAACATGGATAGTGCACAATGCATCGTAATTAATGGCAATGCGCAATTAGCTATGCCTATATTCATCTGTATAACTATAATACAGGTGAACAAATCATCGGATACGGTCATACCTATAAAATGCGTAAAATGGAAATAGTTCACGATGGTGGCGACACTTTCCCACGTCGAATTTCTTTCATCAAAGCATTGCATTGAACATGCATATATAAAATACAATAAATTAATCGCCGTGAATTAACTTGAATTGTTATTATAATTTCTCCTATTATATTTTTTCGGTCAAGTGTCCGCAAAGTTCGTCTAAGTCAGATTTTGTTTAATTTTCTAATCGATAGAAACAATGGCAATAACATGATCGTGGGACTGAGAGCCTAGTGCAGATAAACTAAAACATAAAGATTTACCCAGGCTTCATAATCATCACAATCATACGAACAATCAGTTATATTGTGTTTACTAATTTCATTTAGTTATTTGTAAGACTAAGACTAAGACAGTATTTATTGTCTTTTCTGATTTCATTTAAATACTGCCTAGAACTTTCAGTTAAACAAAACTGGGATTGACCGACGAAGATAGAATAATTTATTAATATGACCACAAGTGGAAATCGGCAAAGTTTCCAAAATTCATTCAATTATCGAATTAACAACAAAAACTATCATTCTGATTTGGGGTCATTCACATATTACGTTGTCACTTTTTGGCCAAATTTTAACCTACCCCTCCCGCGCTTGATTACGTTTTAAGGTAATATATGAACGACCCCTTATAATTATCTCGGGACTAGGTGGAATAGGAAGTACTCTCCAAGTCGAAATGAGGTGCTAATTTAACGAGTCATGTTCGCCACGTGTAAATACCATCCGCAAAAGGAACTGCATATAAGATTTAAATAACCAAACAATTTAATAAATATACCTTATCGGACTTCGTTTGAAGGGGCATTAATTGGGCGCTAAAGGCCCTAGTGTTCATTTTAATGTCCGTTAAAATAAAGTTCGTCCACGCAAAGTCCGGTCAAATAACGTCCGATAAGGTGTGTGGCTTATAAAGTATGCCTCGTTCATAATTATATCAATAAGCTCTAATAGTGTAATACTAATAGTAATTTCGACACGCGTCATTACATGCACTCCGCGTCGTAATTAGTAATGAATTTATGAACAATTATATGTATATCTGAGTTAAAATATTTCTACCATGCTGAAAGTGAAATTGTCTGAATTAATACCACTCAAATCACGGAAATAGGTACGTGTTCTCAGGTTAAACCTCGTACAAAAAAAAACAATCTGAACCAATATTGAAAAACAATGATCTGACACTACTGACGTAAATATTTATATTTGTAAGGATATCGAAATGTTGATCATTATAAATATAATTGACAGACAAAGAAAGAGAGGAGTTTTCGTTCGAAAAAGTTGTATCTCTAATAACTTAGTTGATATGTTAGACACAGTGCCACCGACACTTATATTGATTAATGACTAAGATCTTGCTTTCTCACTATTAGTATTATATTGAATTGTTCGGATCATGGAATAATCGGTGTTTAGGCACGATCACTGATTCTCTATATCACATTAATTGGAATGCTCATTGTGGCAGTGAGTAGCAAAACAATACGAGCAATAAAATTAATTGTGAAACACTTAGGAGTGTGCGCAGTGAGATCGAAAAAGACAATCATAAAATACAATCGCAGACTTACTATCTCTACTCCTATCTAAATCGTATCTTTCATTCAAATATCTAATTGTTTCTGAAGAGACTCATTGAAGACAGATTATAATGGAAATAAGTAGCTGAATAACGTATCGACATTTCTACGTCATACTCATATTCTGAAATAGTGTTAATTAAATTATAACGATCAAGATTCACAGTAAAAATTTATTGAGGCTGACAAAGCCATTTGGGATACTCATACAGTTTGGGATAATGTGACTATATAGATGACCGATTCCAACTACAATTATACAAACTTTTCAAGAAAGACACTGACTTTACCTGAAAACAACAAGCTTTCATCCACCACATGTTTTTATATCTGTTGTCTACTCCCAAATTATAAGAGTGATACATAGAAATTCACTTGAATCAACATATTGTGTGAAAGATCTTGAACAGCTCAGAACGGATCTGGCAAAAAGCGGTCATAGAGAAGATATTATGGATTAGATTAAACCCAAGGCAGTATTATAATTAAGGACAATTGAAATGGAGTTGAACAACAATCCAATCAAGAAAAACTGCTCTGTGAACAATTGGTGATATTTTCGATCAAGTATTTTGAAGAGTTGGATAGTTTGAAGGACCTGGCAAATTCTGTTAAACCTGATATCCAATATCTCTGCGGCGAAGACATTCACGTCACGTTTGCTATTAAAAAACAACCATCAATAGCGAACATGATCGTCAGAAATAAAGCCCTAATTGAAGGGGAGGCCAAGGACCCATCTACAGCTAAGACTCAAAAATGTGGCAAGCCTAGATGCAAAACATGCCCATTTCTTTTTTCAGCATCAGACCTGGCTTTGGGTAATGGAATGCCCGTGTATTTGGAATTTTCTCAGAACTGTGCTTTTAAAAGTAAAAATGTCATTTACATCGCTCAATGCACGATTTGTTCTCAAAGTGGTCAAAAGTTTAAGGAGGATACTTATATTTGCCAAACAATGACAGCTATGAACACAAAAATGAACGGGCATAGATAAAATATCACATTTTGTAATTGATATTCAGTAGTCTTTGGTTTGAGAAATTTGCACTTTCCATGCACTTTTTTTTGTCTCACAAAATAGTAGTATGGAATTGTTTAAGCTAGGTGTAGTTAAACAGGTAGACCTGTCGATTTTTGGCCTAATTTTTGGGTTTTGGTGTATTTTTTCCCCATTTTTGGGATTT